GATTTTCTATTGTGGGGTCAGTACCTTGGGCTGATGTGATTGGTAGCTAAGACTCGTGCTTTCATTGGTTCCACCCAAGTTCCTCCCACTGACGCTAGAATTGAGACAAAAAAATCTGTAACACTGTAGGATTTTGGTTTGTACCTGTAGAATGAAATGTGTGTTTTGACAGTTTTGATTTCAAACTTGTACCTTGATTTTTTTCAATTAGGAAGTCTGCTAGTTACAAAACAAAAGTTTCATGTTTCTGAATGAATGTTTGATTTTACAAAATAAAAAATACATGTACAAAATACAATGTTCCTGTTACAAAACAAGAATACAAGTACGAATTGAGAATTACAAGTTACGAATCCAAAGTTACAAGTTACGAATCCAAAGTTACATGTGATGAAACATGTTCGAAGTTACAAAACTTGGTACAAGTTACGCTGAATATTGTCCCAATCCTAGTTCCATAACTGAACTGTCACTCAAGAGAAACCACTGTCCTATGGGAGAGGACTTCTCAGAAGTCCCACCCACCCGAAAGGGTTGTGTCAGAATTGCAACCAAAAACTCAGGGATTGCAAAGGAGAAAGCCAGAAAGTGTAAGTGCAAATCTGGTAGTGAGAGCAAAGCTGTGAGCAGCGAGAATAAAACTAAGGAAACTGATAACAAAAACACATAGAGGCAAACAGATAAAGGAAACATACTTTGTTACTCATTTTAAGAAGTTGATTCAGATCGTAAGTTTTACTTTTGAAACATGTTTTTTTCCTTTAGTCAATATTTTTGTTCTGTCAATTTCTTAATTTTTGTTTGACCGTCAAAGTGTTTTTCTTGATCATTTTAAGAATCTGATTCAGATCGTAAGTTTTTCTTTTGAAACGAATGTTTTTTCTCTCAATGTCTTAAAATTTGTTTGCTCTCCAGTGTTTTTCTTGATCCTATTGGCACAAATCTAATCCCATAGATATGTCCTGAAAGGGCTGAATTTGCATGGAGACACGACAGCTGAGAGGATTGGGCCATCGAATCTCCCGGTCAGTTTCCCCCTCCCAGAATTTCTCCTGAAGTTAGGACAATGGAAAAGTGCCTAACGTAACAGAAGGGTCACATCTTCACCTGAAAGGGTGTGCGTGTGTATCTGCTTGCTCATCCCCTTTCTTCTCTCACCTTTGTGGCAGGTGAAAGTGATGCCTGTGCTGGTAGCCCAGCAGCTGATGAGAAAAACTCTGTGTACAAAAACAAGAAAAGAGCTAATAGGAAAGTATCTAAATTCACCCCAGTGGTTTATGTTGTTTATTAGATACGCAGGCTGCATTTGATCTGAATGGTTTGCTTAAAGCTTCAGATCTTAAATTAGGGAAGAGGAAGGGCGGCTACAGCTATGGCATCTGATATTTACCTCCAGGAGCCCTTCACCACACGCACCTCTCTGCAAACAGACTCTTCTCTGTTGTCCGACACCGGAAAGGTTAACATTCCTCTGTCAGGGCCTCAAAAGAGTCCCAGCCACATTCAGAAATAATCCAAGTTCCTGCTGGGAGTGCTAAGCTATCCACACATAGGTAGCTGCCTCCCATGAGGTGGACAATCGGAGTCTTTGTGAAGCAAGCAGGCTGACTGTGGAGCGAGTTCCATCCACAAGTCTTTCAGTCCAGGAGCCTGAAACCGGCTGCACAGTGGATCTTTTAGAGATGGACGCCGCATCATCATAGCCTTCTCTGAATGATTATTGTGTTTGTGGAATATGGATGATAAAATATTCTTGTACCGGTGGATTTACTGGGCTGACAAGAATCACCAGCTTTTTGGGACTGACTTAACAACATGGATCTCAACCAACAGGTAGGTCATCTCATTCCCCACTCTCAGCTTGACCAAACATGCTCTACTCTGACATGAAACCAAGAGGAAAGTACTAAACTTTATATCACAGCGACCCAAATGGGGGCATTGCAGTTTAAATACGTTAAAACCTGATTTAGATCTTTCTTGTGGATGTTGGTGGACAGAACACTCCACAAAAGCATGAGTAACCTTCCTGCTGTGGCACCTCTGCCCTCGCTGTCCAAGACAAAACAAGGACACTTTACTTTCTTTCCTATATCAGCTCAGGAGGTTAGTTTTGTATGAAAGCGTGTATGGCAGTGAGTCGGTCATGGAATTAGGCAGAACTCAAAGTTAGACCACTTAACATGCTTTATTTCAGCACTCAAAATAATTAAAAACATCTCAATTTATTAAACATTTACAAAATAGGTACAGATTCTGGTGGTGTTTTCGCCCAAACTGGACAAACTCATTGCAGACAGCTCCCTTTGAAGCCTTGGGAAAAATAAGATTTGGTTTTTTGTTGTTGGAAAATTTTACCTGCTTCACAAGTGAAGAAGAAACAAGCTACAACACAATTCAAAGCTGGAATGGTGACAACAGTGTGTGGATTCACTCATCGCTTGAACTCAGAAACAGAGTTTTACTGCCAACACAATCAGGAGAAGTCGGTCTTATTCTGGGCAGCAAGAATTAAAGCCGTGGTTTTGTTTTAGCACCAAGAGGACTCAGCAACACTAACACTACACAACAGTATGGCTGCAGGGGGCAACCAGAAGACCACAAAGAAAGAATAGCACCCTAGGTTTTAGTTGATATTGCTTCTGTTTAAGGCATCATTAAAACACTGTCTACCTCAAAACTGAAACAGACTTCACTTAAAAACACTGGACCTTTTTCTCAAAGCTGGAAATCCCAACTTTTTGAGGTAGCCGTAGTTTTAATGTTTTGTTTGGTAAGAGGAAAAAAAATAGAAACAGAGGAATGAACAAGAGAGGTCCTCAACATCAAGCAACGGACCACAGCTACAACTCCTACAGATGAGGTGGTGGTGTGTGAACTCTGTCAAGGTTAGGTGGAGGGCAGAACAACAACAACAAACATGGCTGTCAGTTTCACCGTTTATTCATCAACACCTGAAACGTGGTACAAAGCAATTGGATTCTGTCTGTTGGGATTGTCCTTTCATTCCTCAGTTTCTATGAACTCCAGAGAGGCCTGGCTTGGGTTGGTTGAATGGAAGCGGGAGTTTGGAATTTTTTTTACACTTTACAGAGGCATATATTATTTTCTTGTTGCCAGTGAAACAAAATGTCTTCTTTACAGGATCCGTGGTGCTGGTGATGGCAAAAACCAAAGAAAAAAGTCAAAAACAAAAGAAGTAGTGATCCTCAACGTGGCGATGCAGACACGGCCACATCACCGCCATCTTGTTCTTTCTGAAGTGCATGTTCTAGGCAAAGGGGACCATCAGGACAATGGCCAAAGTCAGAAGGGAGGGGTTGGACTTTTCAGACAAATAACGTTAGAAAAATATTTTGGTGGGGTTTCTTGTTGGGGCGAGATGACTGCTAAAAAAAAATAAAACACACACGCGCACACTCACAACAACACTTTCAAGTCCAGATTTCTTTTTTTTTTTACAAGAAACAGACAGGTCCAACTTCAAGGCCAAACTCTTGGTCTGGAGCACCAACATCCATAGGAGCGATATCAATGATGGGCAGGCGAGATGTTTTTGATGTTTTGTAATCAATGACTGTCTTGCCCCATGTTCCGGTGTGTGACTGGGAAAGAAAAAGATAAAAGGGAAATTAGTGCAACTAGACATTTATTGAAGTGCACCCGAGCCTACGATCAACAAGATAAGCTAAACACTTATCGGGCCTCAAATACTTTCCTACATTAATGCAATTTGGTGAAAAACAAACACTGTGCAGAGGAATGCTGAACTGTGAGGTATGACACGTGTGTTTCCTAGCTCTTGTCTCTTTGGGTGTTGCAGAACTAGCTTCTGATGCAAACTCAGCTGCTTGTGGGGCAGAGGTGGAAGAATCTGTTGACTCTTACCGTGCATCCGTCTTCCAGGACGCTGTAGGTGAAACGGCTGTTGCCCTCGGCTCTGATCTCAATCTCGTTAGAGCCCTGGAGGAGAAGAGCCTTTTTGAGGTTGCCAGCAGCAGCATCCATGTAGGCGATGCTGTTCTTGCAGTGGTAGGTGACGTTCTGGGAGGCCTCAGTGGACATGAGACGCAGGAATGTCAGCTGAATGTTGACATCCTCTGGAAGAGAGCCCTCGCTGCCATACCCAAACTGCAGATGAGAAAAAGAGATAATAATTAGCAGCTGGTATGCAAAGAAGGCAAAAGAAATACGTTCTGAGGACATTTGAACAAGCTTTACCTGGAAGCCATCATTCATCGCCTCTCCGAACCAGACGTGTTTCTTCTCCTTGATGTTCTTGCTGACGTACCAGTTCTTCTGGGCAACCTCACGTTGAGTTGGTGGTACACAGGTCTCTCCGGTCTCCATGTTACAGTAGACCTTGATGGCATCCTGCGTGCAGCCCTGGTCAGGGTCAATCCAGTATTCACCTGAAGAGCAGTAAGAAACATATCAGAACCTCAGACATCTATTTGTCTTCGTGTCCCTTTCCCCAAACAGCCTTCAGACGCACAGACGTGTTTTGTTGCTAGTGAGACTCACCACTCTTCCAGTCAGGGTGGCACATTTTGAGGTCTCTGCAGGTTCTAGCAGGGTTCTTTCTGGTACCATCAGGGCTTCGGATCTGCTCGATTTGCTGGCTCAGGCTCTTCAGGGTGCTGTCCACCTCAAGGTCACGGTCACGGAGAACATTAGCATCATCAGCACGGAACATGCGGAAGGGATCAGGGGCCTTCTCCTGAGGCTGAGCAATGAAGCCAAGGTCAAATCCACCACCAGGGGCTCCAGGGGGTCCGGGAGGTCCAGGAGGTCCGGGAGGACCCTAGGGATTAAAAAAAGGGGTTGGATGATTTGTTATTGACAGATTGTGTCATGGCAAAATGCAACCTTTTCTTTAATTAATTAATAATAAATTAGAGAGTTTGACTTACAGAAGGTCCCATCTCTCCAGAACGCCCACGAGGTCCAGGAGGTCCAGTGGGTCCAGGAAGGCCAGACATACCATCTTTACCAGGAGCACCAGCAGATCCAGAAGGACCCTACAAACAACAGAGAGAAATCGTTAAAATGCATTCATAAGTTCATAAATTATATTAGCTACATTTTCACAATGCATGAGTTTAGATAGGCAGGGTGGTAACTCACTCTAGGTCCAGCAGATCCAGCAGAACCAGCAGGTCCAGACTCTCCAGTGGGTCCCTGTGAGTTCACACAACAAACTGAGTTCAGACGTTGAACAGAGTACTGTTCAGCAGCAGTATTTACATGTCGAACAGGAACATACGGGAGGTCCAGGAGGTCCCTGGGCACCAGTGAAGCCCCTGTGTCCCTTCATGCCTCTCTCTCCAGCCTCTCCTGTCTCACCCTTGTCTCCGCGAGCTCCAGCAGGTCCCTGTTAAAAGTAGGGACATAATTTAGTTTTCTTTTGTCCTCCATCTATTTCAGCTGTGTGTCCTGATGGTCCTACTTACTCCAGGGCCACGAGGTCCAGCAGGGCCAGCAGGACCAGCAGGGCCAGCAGGTCCCTGAAACACAAAAAAATTGGTTTTACTCTGAGCTTGTAGTGGTCTGTACTCCCCGTAGGAAGCTATCCGGTGTGTGTGTGTGTGTGTGTGTGTGTGTGTGTGTGTGTGTGTGTGTGTGTGTGTGTGTGTGTGTGTGTGTGTGTGTGTGTGTGTGTGTGTGGTGGGAGGTGACACAGATTAAAAGAACAGTGGAAGAAGTCTTTTGCTACTTCTGAGTTTAGTTGAGCTGAGTTTACGATCACCGGGCCACCCAAGTGTTCTCGTGTCCTTCATGAGCCTCAGGTTGAGAAGCTTTGCTCAGCTCTTGATTTGACCTTTTCTTTCCTGAGCTTGCTCTGATCTTGTATCTATTCACCTCCATGGATCCGCCTGCCTGTCGGCACATCTGACCACTAGTTGTTCACAAGCTGCTGCTGTCAGCCCTTGTGGAACGTACGGTGTTGGATAACTTGTCTTTGTTTCCGCTCCTCTTGCCTAGGCTGGCGGTAGCTGGAGGTGCTGTACGACGGCGCACCTCACAGCACTGAAGCACATCCTTTTGTGTATTTGGAGAAAACTTGTCCTCTTGCACCAAATGAGGCCCTTTATGGAGCGGGTGCTACATATCGGGGCGTCAGCGCTGGGGGGAACTGTGGATGGCTGGTGTTTACTTGAAGGCATTTTGACTAAAAAATGAGTGGAAGAAAGTGCCTGTGTGCACCGTACCCTGGGGTAAAAAGGTTTCTCACTGGTTTTTCTTAGACACATTTTGTGGACACTGCTATTTTCATAAGAATGTCTGAAAAAGCTGGTTTAAAAAAAAAAGTAACTTTCACACTCACAGTCTCTCCACGGTCCCCAGATTTTCCAGCAGGTCCAACGGGTCCAGGAGCACCAGAGGGTCCCGGGGCGCCAGGTGCTCCCGCGGGGCCAGACTCTCCGCGATCTCCCTAGAAACCAAACAGCAAATCATTGACTCCCATCTAGGGCTGGGCGATGAATACAGCAAGATGTTTTAGCGGAATCCCCATAAATTATTCATATCATCTATATCTATCTATCTATCTATCTATCTATCTATCTATCTATCTATCTATCTATCTATCTATCTATCTATCTATCTATCTATCTATCTATCTATCTATCTATCTATCTATCTATCTATCTATCTATCTATCTATCTATCTATCTATCTATCTATCTATCTATCTATCTATCTATCTATCTATCTATCTATCTATCTATCTATCTATCTATCTATCTATCTATCTATCTATCTATCTATCTATCTATCTATCATCTATCTACCCAGGATCAGTTAAGAGCTACATGTCTCAAATGTCACACGGGCACTTTAATTTATAATTCATGTAAAATAATTAAAATTTTGTGGCCCATATCATGACACTCACAATATTAACAGTAACTATTTGTTGCCCAGGAGAAAATGCAATAATTTTAAGCGAATGTCATGATGTAATTACATCCACTGCTAGAGGATCACGTGGGTCATGCAGAGCAGAGCTAATAAAGTTTTGAAGGTGAACATGACTGGAACCACACAGTATGTGCTCATCCAAATGAACAGGCAAAGATTAATGGTAGGTTTTGAGGTATTTTGGCCACTGCTGGCCCTTGTACCTTTTATCTGTTAAAAACAAACCGCGGTGCATTTCACTGTCTTCACACGCTCTCAATAAATATACGCTGCTCGGCCCAAAAAAAGTCGCCGCCTGGATATGGCTAAGCAAATATGTAGGAGCCTCCTTTTGGATAACTACTGCATGGGCGATTATCTTTCAGCTGCAACAAGTTATTTAACCCAACCGGTGCATCTGGTGGTTGCGGAACAGATGTTTGTGTGAGAAGGGTCAGGTCATTGGCATCAAGCAGAGAAGACATCTAAGGAGATGCCGAAACGACTAAAACTGGGTAAAGAACTGTCCAACGCATTATTAAAACTGGTCTGATGAGTCCAGATGGGCCCTGTTCCAGAGTGATGGTGCATCAGGGTAAGAAGAGAGGCAGATGAAGTGATGCACCCATCACGCCTAGTGTCTACTGTACACGCCTGTGGGGGCAGTGCTATGATCTGGGCTTGCTGCAGGTGGTCAGGTCTAGGTTCAGCAACAGGTACCTGAATATGCTGAATGACCAGATAATTCCATCTTCCCTGATGGCACGGCCATATTCCAGGATGACAATGCCAGGATTCATCGGGGTCAGATAGTGAGAGAGTGGTTCAGGGAGCATGAGACATCATTTTCACACTTGGATCGGCCACCACAGAGTCCAGACCTTAACCCCGTGGAGAATCTTCAGGATGTACTGGAGAAGGCTTTGTGCAGCAGTAAGACTCTACCATCATCAATGAAAGATCTTGGTGGAACATTAATGCAACACTGGATGGAGATAAATCTGGTGACGCCGCAGAAGTTAACGAAACAGCGCCACAGCGAATGTGAGTCCTAATCAAAGCTATCCAATGACCAATATCAGATTAGGGCGTGTGACCATTTATTTTAGTTTTTTGTGGCGACTTTTGTAGCCGAGTATTGTATAGCAACAAATCGCCCAGTCCTAGCTCTTTCTGACAAGCTTCAAATTTGTGAAATTTGTGCTCAGCTGAAACTGTTGCCTTATTCGATTCTGCTGACTAAAGATCTGATTCCACCTGATGGTGGTTCGGTGAAACACACTGCCTGATGCTCAGCTACAGCGTTAGCACAAAGCACTTTGGAAAAGGTTTTAAATGAGTCGGGTGCCTGCTCATTCAGACGATTCAAACCTGTTGTCTGATGGTCATGTACTCATGAGCTCACCTTAGGTCCTGGAGCTCCATCACGACCAGCTGCTCCCTCAGTACCAGGGGTTCCCTACAACAGCACAAAGTAGGTTAACTAACAGAAAACACTTAACAAAGTGGGATCAGAATAAAAATGAGAGAAGGTAGTTTCATGTTTTGGTGTGTTGTTCCTGGTACCTCACGTCCAGGCTCTCCAGGGGCTCCAGCAAGACCAGGGGGTCCCATGGGTCCAGGAGGTCCACGCTCTCCACTGGGGCCAGAAGGTCCAACCTTTCCAGTCTCGCCCTGTGGGGTTCAACCACCATAACATTAATCAAAGTTTTAACTGGTTAAAGGTGAATAGTGGAACAAGAGCAGAGGGCATCAGTGCCACATTTGAACAACGGCATCCACTGAGGAAGCAGCTTCAACAGCTCTTTCCAGGAGCTCCTACCCTGCCTGTGAGATCGTTTTTCTAAAGCTACATAAAGACATGCTGTTCTCGTTTTGGAAATAAAGATTTTAGTGTAGCAAGAGGAACATACGGCGGGTCCGGGTAGACCAGGGAAGCCTCTCTCTCCTCTCTGCCCAGGCAGGCCAACAATACCACGAGATCCAGCAATACCTTGAGGGCCAGGAATACCAGCAGGTCCCTGAGGAGGGCATCAAAGGCAGACATAGAAATGGAAGTTAGAGCGCAGGGATCCAAAAATGGATATCGTGCTGGCGGTGAACACGTGAAAACTTTCACCTTTTCAAAATGAGGGCCAAAATCGTCCCTGCAGGCCACAAAACTGTTTTCACTTACGCTGCTTAAACTAGATCTGTGATAGGTGTATTTGGTAAAATCTTAGCAGTTCTCTGTCTACATCAGAAATCTACTGAAAAGAGATCATTTCTCCATTTTGGAAATGTAATTAGGTGCAGCGAGCAGTCTCCGGGCTGCACGTTGGGCGTGCCTGATCTGGAGCACTCAGTTAACAGAAGAATCCTATCGGCATCTCAGTAAAGTGTCCTGTGTTGTGTATTTTGTAACATCTCTATATTTTGCATAGTTGGTGAAGATTTCACTGAAAAAAGAATTACTTACAGGAGCACCATCGGCACCAGGGCCACCCTTCTCACCGGAAGGTCCTGGAGGTCCAGCAGCACCAACCTCCCCAGGACGACCAGCAGGTCCAGTCTCACCACGGTTTCCTTTGGGTCCTTCCTTTCCAGATGGTCCAGGGGGTCCAGGAGGTCCAGAATTGCCCTACAGGGTGGAAAGATTGGTATTCTGGACTCCGCCTTTCTGTACAGTGGAAGACTGTTAAGAACTGAGAAACACTTACAGCAGGGCCAGGAGGTCCAACTCTGCCAACAGCACCAGGGAAGCCAGTTGCACCCTAGAGAGAAGGAGCCCAACTAGTTACACGAGCCTAAAGAAGTAAAAGCCTGGCAAGGGACATTGTGCAACAAAAGTGATGACTTACAGGGGGTCCAGCAGGGCCACGAGCACCCTTAGGACCAGTGTTTCCAACAGGACCCTATAAGAACACAAAACAGCCTCAGTCAGCATCTGCAAACCAGCATCTGAAAACATCCTGTGTAGATAAACTGCTCCGTTCTTCACGTTAAGTAAACATTCAGCTGTTCCGTAAATTGGGTGTCAGTACAGTAGCTTTCACACCTGAGGTCCAGCACCACCAGTAGCTCCAGCAGGTCCTGGGGCACCAGCATCTCCCTTAGCACCATTATCTCCAGGCTCTCCCTTAGCACCAGGTTGACCATCAGCACCCTTTAGTGAAAAGATGGGGAATAAAGCAAGAGATGACAAAATGTCTGGGCACATTCTAACGGTGTCATCCAAAAAATTAAACAATTCTGAAGCAGTTGTTGTACTCAAGGAGAAGATACTTACAGGAGGTCCAGCGAACCCAGCTGGTCCAGGGGGTCCAGACTCACCACGCTCACCCTGGTAAGGAAGACACATTATCTCAGGTTTCTTGGAAAATAGTTGGAAAATGTTCATTTTGTCAAACAGAAAACTTTACTCACAGGGGCACCACGGGCTCCAGAAGCTCCGACAGGTCCAGCTGCACCAGGCTCTCCCTTATCTCCAGGTGCTCCAGCGGGTCCAGGAGGTCCAATTGGTCCAGTCAAGCCACGGGGTCCATCCTTGCCAGGAGCTCCATCACCACCCTTAGCTCCTTGGTCACCCTGGATTATTAGATGGAGAAGGTATGTTAGTTCCACTACTAATCACCACACCAGATCATGGAAAAGACCTGTTTATGACATGTTTATGACCTGTTTATGACATGTTTATGACATGTTGGTACTGCATTGTTGGAGATACTAAATGTAATCAGTCATTGCATCACACGCAATCAGGCGTTTCTCATGTCTAAGTGGTTCTGGTGTTGTTACAAGTAACCCGTGATAATGGATCATGCACATTTGGACTTTTTTACGTGCTAAAGAATACAGTTGTAACTACTCACTCTGTCTCCTCTCAGTCCTGGAAGTCCAGCAGCACCACGCTCACCAGGCATTCCCTGCAGTCCAGGAGGACCCTGAGCTCCAGGAGCACCTGGGGCTCCAGCGTCTCCCTGAAGAACAGAAAGAAGGAGGTTAAGAATGTTTGGGATTTATGGGAATCCATAGAATCATTAAATGAGCCATGCTGACCTTAGCACCATCATTTCCAGCAGCTCCAGGTGATCCTCGGGCTCCAACAGGTCCTACTGGGCCAGGTGCACCACGCTCTCCAGGGAATCCTCTGTCACCCTGATGGGAGGAAGCAGCAGAGTGTTTGGTATGAATGGGGTTCATAAAGGGGCAAGAGTGGCAGAGGAGTTAAGTGCCCACTCCATAACCAGAGGGTTGCAGGTTCAAGCCCCTGCTTGGGCAAGGCACTTCACCCTCCTTGCCTGTTAGTGGGGGTCAGCTTGCTTATGGCAAGGGTAGCTGTGGCTACCATGTAGCTCATCACCACCAGTGTGTGAATGTGTGTGTGTATGGATGAATGACTGATTGTGTTGTAATGTGACTTGGGGGGTTGTAGAGCTCAAACACGCAGGCCATTAAGTGGCTGTGGAACTACTTACTCTTGATCCGGCTGGTCCTGCGGCTCCCGCCTCTCCGGGCAGACCCTAGACATGAAGACAAATGTGAGTAAGAGGCACCTTCACTCAGGAGAAGCATCGTGGTGACATCACATCTCAGTCCACACCTGCTCTCCAGGCTTTCCTGTCTCACCAACAGCACCCTGTGGTCCTGGAAGTCCCTGGAATCCTGGAGCTCCAGCAGGTCCTGCCTCTCCTCTCTCCCCAGCAGGGCCCTAAGGGTGCACAAAAAGGAGTCAAAGGGGGGACTTATCTGTGTGGAGGATGCTGATGTAATGTGATCTAGGAACATGTAGAGTTTATACTTACAGCTGGTCCAGGAGGACCTTGGGCACCAACATCACCATCCTTTCCAGGGGCTCCCTGGAGATGGAAGATGGCAGATTTAGAAGGAAAGTAGACAACTTGACAAAAAAGTCTAATAAAAACCAAAAGACTAGAAAACTTACAGCAGAGCCAGTGGGTCCCATGACTCCTCTCTCGCCTGGCTTTCCAGCCTCACCCTAAACACAAACAGCACCAAGTTACTGGCCTCCATCTCTGGAGCTCAATATTACAAAACACGTTTGGTGAGAGTGTGTAGCTTTGGGAACGACTCTTACAGCAGCTCCCTTAGGTCCAGGGAATCCCATGACTCCAGGCTGACCTCTAGCTCCAACAGGCCCAGGTGGTCCAGGGCGGCCATCTTGTCCAGGGGATCCCTAGTAGAGAGGTTTATTAATGAAATGATGACTAACTAGTCAGACTGCCACGGTTACATGCATGCAGATCGTTGAGATAAACTGTGACGGAGACAAACTTACAGCTGGTCCCATCTTGCCATCAGGTCCAGGGCTGCCAGGGCTCCCAGTCATACCCTACAGAGCAAAGGTCAGAGGTCACTGGTAAATAAATTCTGTTGGTGAATGCTGGAAAAAGGACAGCAGATGATCTTGCCTTAGCTCCTGGGAGACCAGGCTCACCAGTGCGGCCGGGCTCACCACTGGCACCTTTAGGTCCAACAAGACCGGGGGCACCACGCTCACCAGGGGCACCCTAAAAAAACAAGGAGGAGGAGAAACAGTAGCTGGTGAGAAAACCGATGCCACCTGAAACCATCCACATTGTGTTGAGGAGAGTGGACATGTTCAGAAGGGCGGTTTACCTTAGCTCCAGCAGGGCCATCAGAACCAGGGAACCCACGGCCGCCAGGAGCACCCTGCAGATGAAAACACAAACAAACAAACAAAGCGTCAAACTTTGTTACGTATTTAGACGATTATAAATGTCTGCTGAGAATGTTTTGAGGACATGAAATGCCAAGCTGACATGCAAAAGACTGAAGAGGCAGTTTAGGGTTTTGATGCATAAAAAGTCAAAATTATAAATTTTAAATTTTCTGTATATTTGTGACAATGTCTCTAGGACGTTGCATGATTGACAAGCAGCCATAAAAGGGATGTTAATTCAAACATGGAGCTGTAACTGATGTTTTCTGTTGATGGTGATTTGGAGGTTCCTTGCCATGACTCCAAGTACTACATTCTAGTATGATGTATGCAAATTGGCCTAATATAGTCAAAAGTATTAGATAAGCATACACGCTCTCCAGGGGCTCCACGAGCTCCTGCAGCACCAGGCTCTCCTCTGGATCCTCTCTTGCCTTCCTCACCAGGGGGTCCTGGGGGTCCCTGCACGCCTGTGATACCCTGTAGGAAGAGAGCGTTAGACGCTGGGGCTGAGGAGCGTTTAAAAGCGTTGCTGTGTGTTGTTTTGTGGGGAACATACAGCCTCTCCCTTGGCACCAGGCTCTCCCTTGTTTCCTGGGGCACCAACCTCACCCTGAAGGATGCATAGAAACAGAAAAAAAATCAGCACATTTAATAAGCTTTTAATTGACGTCAGCTTATTTTGGGAAAACTTTACTTACAGTGTTACCCTTGGGTCCTGGGGCACCAGCAGCACCCTGAGGTCCTGGAGGTCCACGTGGTCCGGGAAAGCCAGGAGCTCCTGCAACTCCAGGAGCACCCTGCAGGGGGCAGCACATACCGTCAACAACTAAACCTATGGTAAAAGATCAAACTCAAACAGCCTAATAACCACTGAAGCTGCTATGTTTGTGCCTTCCTACATAGTTTAGCTGAACGAGACCCTTTATTGCATAAAGTTTCTGAAAAGTAGACTTACAGGTAATCCCTTAGGGCCAGCGGCTCCATCAGCACCAGGGTTTCCCTGAGAGGGGGAAGAATTTTTTTAGTTTCTTCACAGATTGTTATTTTAGACAATCTGACGATCTTATGAAAGGATTTATAATTACTGAAGGTCCAGCAGGGCCAGCAGGTCCAGCGTTTCCAGGCTCACCGCGAGCTCCAGCAGGTCCCTCGGGTCCACGGGCGCCCTGTGCTCCAACATCACCCTAGGGGATGCAAAAAATTAATAAATAAATAAATAATAATAATAATAATTAATATAATAAACAGGACTTAGTGGTTAGTTGTAGAAAACAATTCATAATAAAAAAATAAATACTTGTTTTAGAAAAACAAACAAAGAGCTTTTCTTTGACAGAAAATGTTTTTTATATGTGAAACTTGTGAGGCGAAGCTCTCGCTAAACCCCTTCCCCAAATCATCTCTAGTCCAAATAGGTTACACTGTCACATGTGTAGGGCTGACCCGGGCAACCACACTGAAAATGACCAATCTGTACTGGAGTGTTTCCTGTAGGCATTGTCGTACCTTGGATCCAGGGCCTCCAGGGAATCCGGGAGGTCCAGCAGGGCCAGTGGGACCCTGAAGTAAACACAGAGAGTTTTAGACAGAAGTCCTCTGCCCTTTTGGTTTGATGTAACGTAGCAGAGTGAAAGTTATTCTGGTCTTTCAGAGTTATTCAACAGAACCAAACCCAACTCTTGATGTCCGGTGTGTGTGTGTGTGTGTGTGTGTGTGTGTGTGTGTTGGATGTAGTGACACCTGGTGGCAGAATTTGGATATCACAAAGATCTGAAAACCCTGTCAGCAGTGCTAAAGGCTGGCGCTGTCTTTAGTGGCAGCCCAGCGAACGGTGAGCTGTCTTTGACTCTAAAGTCCGTCCTTCAAGGACACTTTTCTCTGCATTTGGATATATGAATTTTACCATAACCGTCTCAGCGTATTTCCTTGTCTGCTGTCAAATCAACCCTAAATATTTCATTTCTGAACATTAAAGACAACAGGTTTGGATGTTTGCTCAGCGGTATGAGAATCTGATACGTACAGGAGGTCCAGCGGCACCGGCAGCACCATCGTTACCGCGAGCTCCCTGTGGAACACAGACAAACCTGAGCGTCGGCGACGACTGATTTAACAAACAGATCCTAACGGAGTGTGTGGACTCACAGCAGCACCAGAAGGACCGGCACGACCTCTCTCACCAGGCAAACCACGGGGTCCCTGACCAAGCAAAGATAACCAATCAGTGTCATGGATGCTGTCATCCACCAGAGCTCCTAAACAAACGTTTGAAGGCGTCTTACTCACCATAGCACCAGGAGTACCATTCTCACCAGGGGCTCCAGCCTCTCCCTAAACATGCAGGCAGACAGAAGCAGGTCAGGATGGGACTTTAATTAAACTAGCGGCAGTCTGTGGCTTCTGGCAGTCTTCATAAAGGCTCTCCTACTTACCATCACTCAACTCTGAAAACAGCTAACATAGATGTAATGCGTGCTTGAATTACCAGTAAAGCTACGTTAAACCAGCTGAACTGGCTATCTTGAGGGTTTATGACCAAATCTTGAAATAGTTTAAAACCTACGACGCTACAAAGCATGAGCTATGATATGAAATGCGGAATGTAACAAATTATTTCCGCCCTGCAGCGTTGCTTTTGGCCATCGCCTCTGAAATGCAGCTGCTTTAGTAAAATGCAAAACTACTCGTGGGGGATTTGTTTTCATGACTTTGAAAACGCGTCTGCTACCGTCGTTGCCACGGATCACGTTACCGCCAACACTAAACACATTTCAAGAATGATCACAACACAAAAGGTGACGAGGATGTAAATGAGAGTAAAGATGGGGAATGACCTTTGGTCCTGCAGGGCCAGTGTCTCCCTTAGCACCGTCCAGACCGCTGAATCCCTAATGAGCACAAAACACAGTCATGAAGTGTCACATTGCTGATTTTTGCTTAAAGACCAAGTTCACTCTTTTTTTCAATACATTTGCTGACAATTCCAATATAAACACATGCCTTGTGAGTCATTGTTACAGGAAAAAAAGCTCTTGCGCTCCTGTTTCAGGAACTGGAAGTTAGCTGGTGGAGAGGGGAGCAGATAACAGCAGAACTTGGGGTCCTACTCCGTATCATTTCCTGATATTCAGACATCTGTCCTCTGATTGGCTAACAGCAACACAATGCTACCACCGACTCTGGTTGCTTGGCAACATTGATGTTTTATCTCCACAAATAACACAAGCCTGGAGGAGTTCTGCTGTATGGTGGAGCTGCTAATGCTAACGATTAGCTTCTCCTTCTTCTTTGTTCTCTGCTCTCTCCTGGATGCCAAAAAACTCAACAGCCTTTCCTCGCTGCGAGCCAAGATGGGCGAGTCAGTGAATGCTAATTTTCAGTGTGACGTGGATCTGACCGGAGTTTCCTGACCCGAGCGTTTTCCCATTCTATCAGCAGCTAATGTGGAAAATGAGGGTGGAAGACTGTTTTCACATTTAGCCTGCTTGTTAAACTCAGAGTGACTGATCATATCGCAAAAATGACAAGTAAATAATGGTTCCTCAGTGAACTTGCTCTTTAAACATTGATTGTGACCGTGTAGGTCTGACTTGTGCAAGTTTTGGCTCACTCTGTGTCCCTTGATGCCGGGCAGTCCAGGGGTTCCTGGGAAACCACGAGCTCCCTGAAAGAAAAAAGCAAATAGACAAAAGTTGGTTTGATTTTTGTTATCGTTGACATGATACACCTGAAAGGAGTTCTGTCCAGTAACCTACCTGAGGACCAGAAGGTCCACGCTCACCAGCACGACCAGGTTTGCCAGCTTCACCCTGATGGGTAGAGAGAAGAGTGACCGTCAGACAGATCCACTACGACTGAAATAAAAATGTCTTTCGAGGTAACAGAAATATGGGCAGGATCTTACATCTTCTCCGTTCTTTCCAGGGGGACCGGCAGGTCCACGTGGACCCATGGGACCCTGAAGAAAGGACACAAGAACTCAGACGGATACCGGACACAACAGGTGTGTATTTGTTTCAGTATCTTTAATACTCACAGAAGCTCCAGGCTCTCCGGACTCACCAGGGGGGCCAGGAGGTCCCTGAGGGCCCTTTAAGTAGAGACAGAAACATCATGTTCAGACTTTTCACTAATAAAGTTCGTTTTGCTGATTTACTGATTAGAAAATATAGACGGTCTTCGAGTTCATCTCATCTCGTCTGAGCTGTTCTGGTGGTTTTCGTGGTGAAAAACATTCAAACGTCTTCAGCAGTTTGATTGGACGTTTTCTTGGGTTGAACCAATGGAAATGCTCAGAGTGACTGGCAGAGCTGCCCTGTTGGGCTGCAGGGATCCTGCAGCAAGGCCGACTCTTTAGCTCAGCTTCTGAACGAACTTTAAACCCTCCATGCTGCTGTTTTCTAGAAACTCTTGATGCGTATATTTACAAAAATGATGAAAAAAGGTCTTTCAATCACGTAGCTTTAAAAAAGAATCCATTTGCATTTATGTTGTTTTCCACCACACAAACAAAAATGTGATTTATGTTTACAGACAGGTACAACCAGTCCTGTTTATGTTAACAACAAACAGGAAAACAAACCTTTTCTCAGTTTGTGTACCTTTATTACCCTTGAGGCCATACTAACAACACCACTGCCCACACAGCTCCCTCTGAGACCATAGTTTATTTTCCTGACTTGAAGATGAAGATGACACACTTACGCTGGAACCAGGAGGTCCAGGAGATCCACGGGGTCCCATTGGGCCCTGTCAGTCAAACAGAGTGGTGTCAGATACATGGTGAGTCACATGGTGATGAACGGGAGGTCTGTGCGAGTATCCTACCATAGGTCCAGGCACAGACATGGAAGGAGATTTCTCATCGTAACCACCAGACATCTGAGGGGAGAAGTTCTGGAAAAGCAAAACAACGAACCAGTTTAAAAACGGAAAACAGAAAAACTCTCACCTCACATGTGTGAGACTTAAAGAAACTCAGCAGTTAAATGTTTTCATTGTGTAGAGAAACGTTTCAAATAAAAAACCTTTACCAGTTATGACAAGAAAAGGGCCTTTTTCGTGTTTAGGCGACTTTTAGCTCATTTAAAGTAGCAGTAAGTAAGAGAACGATGTCCTGTGGCCTGGTTAGGGTACCGAGAACGATGTTCTAAACAAAAGTTTCTATAGTTATGAATCAGCGCCAGAGCATTCTAGGAGACAAGCGAAGACGAGTCATTCACAATAAATAGATAAACACATTCTCATATCTGTTTGTTTTATTTCTTTGACTTTTTATTTGTTTTAACTTGTTTCTTTGGTTTTAGTGTTCAGCACTATGTGTCTGACTGGAAGTGTGAAGGTGCTCTACAAATAAATACATGATGATGATGATGATGATGATGATGATGATATCTGGCATTAACTGGTTTATTTCCATTCTGTTTTCCATTAGAAAGTACGTCACTCATTACGGTAGTATGCCTCCGGCAGTAGAGGATGTGTTGTTGTTTATCGTCTACAATGATAAATAGTACCATTATAATATATATATATATATATATATATATATATATATGTGTGTGTGTGTGTGTGTGTGTGTGTGTGTGTGTGTGTGTGTGTGTGTGCATAGTCCCATACTATAATACCAGTAAAATGCCACAATAGACTCATGATTCACTTCACACACACATTTCACTGTAACATCGAATTGTTGGTAATTGAAAAAGGAGCTGAGATATTGTTAGAGTGACTGTTTGCTTCTAGCTCACCGTTAGCATTGTTAGCTCAATGTTAGCCTCTAGCCTTCTTTACCCAAAAACTTAAAAGATGCTGTGGCTTCTTAGGGGCAGACTCTGTGACCTCTACAGATCAGAAACGGTGACTATGTCCCTTTTGACCATTTTGAAAGGGGGAAACCTGACAACCCCCCATCCGGCTCAGAGGGAAATCTGAAACCCTCCTTCCCTGATTGAGGCCTTAGACTGTCTAGAGATTTGAAAGTCTTACTTATTGTTCCTTTAAATGTAAAAAGAGAACACTAGAAAAGCATCAGTATTTGAATGAATGAATTTTTCTGCTCAGCTGCCATGAATTTAGAACAATTCCCTGCATGCTAATTCCATTTAAGGTAACTTCACATAAGAAACTCCCGACCCTTTGATCTCAGACTCAATTGGAAAGTCAGCAGCTTTTACAAACCAATAAATAAACATAAGAAATGTATAGCTAATGTTTGGAGAGTTTATTTTATTATTTAATTCACACAGGCACCACAAGAGCATCCATGTTTTCTGTTAAACAGCTAATGGAAGCTCACATCCATCTACGAAAGTAGCCTCCAGCCCACACTAGCCTTTTGTGCTTCAGTTTTTACGTAAACCGGCCTAACACCCCAAATTTCAAAAACTGACAACTTACTCCACCGAGGCCGGGGGGTCCGGGGGGGCCGGGAGGTCCTGGCAGACCAGGCTGGCCATCTAAACCATCTCTACCAGCGGGACCAGGAGGACCCTGGAGGTCAAAGAGGAGAAACAGATTTAGAATCAGGGCTAACATACAGTAACATACAGTGTGTGTATAATTAAAAGTATATATTAATTATAAATGTATATATAAATAATAATTGATTAAATTAGCATTCTTTGTGTCAGTAGCCATGGGACCAACCAGGAATGGTCAAACTGAGGTCATGTGACCTCAAAAGGACCACATAAGAACCACCCATCCACCTCAAGGTCTGGACATCAAGGTTGAGGGACTTTTTCTTCCCTGAGACTAATGATCATAAACAACAACCTGTGAGTTTTGCTGCTCCAGTGTTATTTCAGGCATTTCTCATGTTTAATAGTGTAGGATGGTTAGGGCGACTTGTTTTTTCTAACAAACAACAACGACTTCATATGAATCTTGTGTTCTGCATCTTAATGTCCAGGTGACTCAGAAGGTTGAACCAAATCCTCATCTCACATCTAAAAAACTATTTAACGAGACCAGTTAGAGCTGAAGCTTCGATGCTGTCAGATGTTTACAATAAGCAGATTTTAGCTACAAAATTAGTTCAAAGTTAAAAATATTCCAAAGAGGTTCGAATGACGTCAACGGGACTTCGCTTCGCTTCACATCCGAGGAGCTTTGTTAATTCAGACTGGAATATGGGAGGGTCGAGCTTATAAAATGTAGCTGCCTTACTTAACAAGCTGAAACTACTTATGAATACCCCTCCTCTCAATTTCTTTAGTAGATCTAAGACAGTCTGATGTTCTAGTATTGACATCTCCAGTCTGTCTCCTCTGATCCGCTGCTGCTCTGAGGAAGTCCTCGCTTCATTTTTTCTAAATGTTAAAATTCACATTCAAAATGCTGAAAATGCATTAATGGAACCAACCAGAATCCGTTTAAACCATAATAAAGGTCAACTGGTAGTTTCAGAGGAAAAGGAGCTAAATCACAGCAAAAGAGCAAATTAATCCTCAGAAATGTCTTTAGGGCAGAAAAGGTCACCAAAAAGAGACCAGAACAGATGTTTGTTCTCACAAAAGCTGTGAATGGGCTTTCTTAATCGTTTCAACTGAATTAAAACCCATTTGGTGACACTGTCAGTGTGACTGTCTCATTTCTAACACACGAATCCAGTCAGAGAGTCAAACTTTAAACAGGATTCAAAATTAACCCAGAGATGAAAAAAAAAAAAAAAACAGAAAGAAAGACTGAACGTACCCTCTCTCCTTTGGGTCCCCGGTCTCCTTTGGGTCCCTGTGGACAAAACCGATCGAGCTTTTAGAGACGCCTGATGACACAAGCCGTGATCGTATCGTGCTGCTAATGTAATGACTGTACCCAACTCTGCAAACCTTGGGAACTACTCCCTTTGATTGTGTTCATTTACACCAGTGATTCCCAGCTCTTTTCCCCGAGGGCCGGTATCCAGCATGTTTTAGTTATTTCCCTCATCCAACACTCTTGACTCGCCTGTGCAGCAGCTCATCAGGCTCCGCAGAGGCTGTTAATCACCTGCTGATTAAACTCAGGTGTGTTGAAGCAGGGAAACAGTAAAACACGGTGGACACCGGCCCTCTGGGACGGGAGGTGGAGAACACTAGTTTACACACAATAAGAATAAAAATGTCAGGACACATCCCAGACCACGTGAACCCATTTCAGTTAAATAAAATGCAATCTTGTTTAAAAAATACTTCATATAAATGTTTGTTTACCTCAACCTGAGCAGCTTGGTAGCCTGAAAAGGAGAAACACAAATATACAGTTTAGATGTTAGAAACATCAACTGAATGTAAGCAAAAACATCACAAAGATCGTTAAAACTTGTATAGAACTTAAAAGGGGATCTTGGGGGTGCTAGACCCTAAAGTTAAAGATGAAACAGAGATGAACTAATACCCTCATCAGGGCAGATGGCGCAGCACTCTCCCTCAGGGATGAAGGGGTTGGGGCAATCCGTTGCGTCCTCACAGTGGACATCGTCACACATCACCGTGCCTTTGTCGCACACACAGATCTGACATGGCTCGGGTTTCCACACATCCTTGTCCTCAAACACCTGGCCATCCAGGGTGCACCTGGTGTCCTTGACTGGGGGGGGGGACACAGGAAGTACAGCTGAGATACCAGAGTACACACAGCTCACACACTACCAACTGGAAAGGTAAAAAACTTGGTATATGGTGCTTTTATAGTCAGCTAATGCTTGTTATAACAATTTAGTTGGATTAGATTAGATTAGATTAGATTGATCAGATTAGATTAGATTAGATTAGATTAGATTAGATTAGATCAGATTAGATTAGACAAACTAAGAAAATCAGAGTGTGAACTATTTCAGAACTTTTGTTTTAGTTGTTTGAAAGTTTTGATGAACTAAAGATAAATATCATGTATTTGGTATGACATCATATAAATCAGAGCATGACAGAAGTTAGCCTCAGAGAGCTGTGATCTGGATTGGGTCAAAGGTCACTCAGAGGGCATCAGTGTGCTGGTTTGATCATCATCAACTCTAAAAACACGAATGAAGCTTTGTAAATGACTTATTCTGGGTCCAGGAAGCAACCCCTGAGACCCGTTTCCCCTCCTACCCACGTCAGCGCCTCTCCTGCGCACGCTCTCAGCTACACTTTCAGTCCCAAACAGATTTACTTCTAGAGCAGTTATAAATCTTCCAACGTGCCAAAGTGCTGAGCTCAGAGAGGAAAAGCAGCAGAGTTGCAGACCGTGGACTTGGCAGCAGCTGGTGGAAACACTGTGCATGTGTTTGCAATTAAAGGGAAAAAAATCTGAGGGAGGGGTGGGGTGGGGGTTTGAAAAAAACCCAGGACGAGGGTGAAGCATGTCATGGCAGCCAGATGTGGCTGCAGGTACCGACGAGCCTCTGGGTGGCGCTGTGAGACAGCCAGTCCATGCGTTTGTTTCAGACGGGCAGCTGAGTCCTCTCCAGAAGGAGAAACATCTGGAAAACGAGTTCTTGTTCCCAGCGCTGGACTGGTTTTCTGTGTCCTCTCGCTGCATAAAGCTGTTCAGCATTCATTTTTCTACTCGTTCTGTCCTCCATGATGCTTTTTCAGTTTTTCTGAACTTTTAAAAAATACTTGTGCCACTAGTACTAGCACTAGCAGTAGTCTGCTCCTCACCTTCCATCTTCCCTCTCTGGGACTATTTTCTCATTAAATGACTCCACTGGTGTTGGCCTCAGGCTCTATCAGTGAGGCCTGAGATGAACTGCACCTGAACATAAAATAAAACTTTCATCTAAATCTGAGAAAATCTCTCTCTGAGTAACTAATGCGTGCCGAGTGGCTGAAGTCTGTTCACTGGTTTGTCTCCTGCAGAAAACCCTTGCCTGGAGGAGGAGAGCATGAAAAAGCGTGCCACAACTTGCATACGAGGGAAGCAGCCAAACGAACGCTCGGAGAAGAAAGATGGAGGTCTTGTTGGGATGCCTAATGCCTTACGAACGCCCTGTGGTGTCTGTCTACAGACAATGGAACATCAAAGGTCAAATCTTTAAGCTTTCTCCTCTTCTCTTTCTCAAATCTTAGCAGCTGTCCAGCCATAAAGACAAAAACTTTAAAAACAACAAGAAGAAGAAGAGTTGAGAAGCTCCGACAAAGTGATGAAACTTACTGTCGTCCTCGCCCTGAGACCTGACCAGGAGTGCCGCTGCGCTGAGCAGCAGGGCTAGCCGCAAATCCACAAAGCTGAACATGTCTAGTTGTCACCAGACATGTAGACTCTTTGAGGCAAGAAAGGAAGAAAAAAGTTGGGGATATTTTCTCTTTCTGCTACACTCCACTCATACGCGGGTGTTTGGGGCAGGATCTGTGCGTCTGTCCAAAGTCCTCCTGACCCCAGTAGAAAACTCCCTACTGCCTGCACTCATTTTCCAGTGGGGCTTTTATATGTGAGCCTGCAGAACTGGGAGGTACTGGGGACTGGATGGACTGGGGGACGCACCCTCATTACTCTGCTGTTTCTGCTCACGTTTAGGGAAGACAAGAAAGGGTGCCTCCTTCAAAGAAAAGAGAAGGAGAAAAAAACCCAGGAAAAAACAGCTGGTCCCTCCTTTCATAATTGCACAGTAGGTCTGGATCAGAGGAGAATGGGGTGGGGGGCTGTCTGAGCAGGAGGAAACTTGATCCATAAGAGCATTGGTAGGTTGGAAGAGGATCTCCTCCTGCAGCAGTCTTCTCTTTAATCCAGACTGTGTGCTTTGGTTGTAGTTCCCTTCCTGATGCAACGATTCACCAAGTTTTTGTTAACAGATGGAAGTTCTGGTAAGGTTGAGTCAGTTTGTGTTCAGAGGCAGCTTTGATTTGGAGGTGTTCGATTGTGTTTGTTCACGTCCAAACATGGCTGCAGGCCCCGAAGCTCTAGATCAGCAGGATGGTCTGTTCTACATGCAGAAGGTATCGTTTGTAACAAAACAACAGAGCGATCCATGTTTCCTTTGGGAGGTTGGACAGGTTTCACTGTGTCCATGCGCAGGTCGGTCAAAGCTCTATTAGTCAGCTCTTTTTTGTGTTCGTCTGATTCCTGCATCAGAACTCGGGTCAAGGGCTACAAACTTTGAGCTGGATCCTGGGAGTTGTAGGATTCGGAGGAGCTGCTGCAGACCTCTTCATTTAAAATGTTCCACTGAAACACAGAATGTCACCTTAATGCTGAACGAGTGTGGTGTCAGAGGCACTTTCCTTTGAGTGTTGTTGATGTCAACATATTTCACATTGAGAGTGATAGTGGTTGTGCTCTCCAGTCTTTGGCTGCTCGCATCAAACAGATCCAAAAGTATGGACGAACATTCTTTCTGATGGTGAAACCAAACTTTTACACGCAGCTGGAAATGTCAGCAGTTCACAGTCCACTCAAGTTAAAGCGTTCAAATGTGTAAGTCCAATTTTTGCATAAACCCCTGTGAACTGAAACATTCTGGTGAGAAATATGAAAAGCAGATTGTGACTTCGCCTTCTGACTCTGTCTCAAGCATGCTGACTAGAATGAAGCAATAATTATGATGAACTGATCCAGAAACGTAGAGCTGGACTAAAGCTAAACACACGGGCAGACGAAGGGGACACTTTCCTGACTAAATAATAAAAATGCACCTTAAATCATTTTTCCAGGTTTGGACTCCATTCACATTGTTGCCTTGCTGCTTTATGTTCAGACATGCATTACTTCTGTCTTTAGCAAGTGCCTCGTGGTTTTTATCTTGAGAGGCGCTATAGAAATGATATTTTCTTCTTCTTCTTCTGGTTACTGTGAGCAGGTGACTTGGCAGGACTTTTGACCCGACATCCTGAGTGGGACGACTCTGGCTCAAACGCAACACGGCTCCACCACTGATCAGGGTTCAATGGCTTCATTTTCAACACGAACGTCGTGATGGATCCCCTATGCTTGTGCCCATGAGAAAATGCATATGTGATTTTTGTATTCTGTAATTTTGTATCTGAAGCAGAGATAAAAAAAAAAAAATAGGCTACGGCTTTGGAAAAAGCTGTTTTACATTCCCCCAAACTGTTGTTGGATGGTTGAAGGTGTTCCTCTGGGAGGATGTTTAGGTACCATTTTTTGCTCATGTTCTGGTCTCAGGATGCTCTACCACTGGAAGAAAACACACCTTTTTCTCCTCCAGACAACGTTTTATTCAGATGCTCTGAACAAACAGAAAGAGGATCCTGAAGAGAAAATGACTTTCCTCCAGTCCGAAGCAGTCCATTCCCGGGACAGGGCAGGATAAGTGGCATGTTACCTGCTCTTCTTGACACCATTCCTTCCTGTTGCTCTTCCTCAACAGCCTCAGACACTGGGTCTGTTTTAGGAGATGGTCCTAGCGCTGCTGGACCTTAATCCCTCTTTACAAATACAGTGGAAACTGGCTTTTGAAATCAAATTCATTTTAATGGCAAAGTGTGACTTTAAAATTAACCATAATTCGTCTGATCACTGTTCAAAAACAGACCTTTTCTTTTTTAAAGCATTCGGTCAGGACTGCAGCATTCCTACAAATGCCCAGTGATAGAGACGAATGAATCAACTTCAGATTAAAAAAGCATGTGGAGCTAAATCCATCTATACTTACTGGATGATTGATTAGGCAGGATTAGGGGGTTCATACCCATTGCATTATGTGTACTGTTATGTATCACTAATGTTAGAATAATCTGGACTTTTTACATTGTTTGGACATAAAGCCATGTCCGTTTGCAAGTTAATTATGTGGCCTACACCTTTTGATAAGTTAACCTTTCAACTTGTGCAAAGGCTGGCATAAAAAAGTCATTACATTTTTGAGAATCGTCACTTACATAAGTCACTCATTCAAAGGGGCACTGAAAGGCGCAGGTGGGTTGGTGCATAGATAGGGGAAGCAGCTGATTATTAAAAAACTTGCAGTAAAACCAGATGTTAACATTTTTAAATCGGTGTCTGCCTCTGCCTGTGCATTAAGATGCTTCCACAATTGTAGGTTTGCAGACATTATGATTGTTATTGGCTCTAAATAATAGAAGCCCTTTTTGCCACTGCAAACACCCCCCAGTCCAAATAAAGGTTTATACGAGCAATTCTTCAGTCCCCCCACCCAGAGCTGTGCGCTCAGCGCCTGGTCGGCTACAGGTGAGCTGTAATTAAACAGAAAGCAGACATTATGGAGCAGATGAGCTGCAGGAGAAACAGAGCAGCAGGTTTCTGCCATCTGATCTTTCAGGAGCAGACACGTAGCAGTCTAGGCTGGCCAAGAAAGCCTCTAATTCACTCCTCCTACTGCTTTTTTCTCTTTCTCTCACACACACACACACACACACACACACACACACACACACACACACACACACACACACACACACACACACACACACACACACACACACACACACACACACACACACACACACACACACACACACACAATATCCATGTGGCTGCTTTTCTCTTTTTTTAAACCGAAGCGGATGGAATGCAGTTCATCTGTCAGGAGCAAGAGAAGCAAAAAGGCGGAAGAAGGGAACGCCACCTCATCATTCCCTGATCCAACCTCCAGCAGCTGATTCAACTACACACACATACACAAACGCGCACGCACAAAAACACAGTCTCGGAAAATAAAGGTCTCTGTTCTCTGCTGCTAACAGAACATTCATCTGAACTTTTTGCTGTTTTATTCCATTATGTTTGATTCGTTTGGGTCAATCAGTGATTAACAAACGTAGTTCAAGGCCTGTTCTTTTCTAAATGAACACAGGCATAAAGATATTGGGGTGATGTTGGGTTAAGCAACCCAAAATTATGATCTTTGGGTGATGTTGGGGTGAACACACACTTCCCACGACTAAAGCCGGTTGTATTGATGCAACATTTGGGGGAGTGCACGTTGCAGCTAAAACGGCAACATGCACCCCCACAAATGTTGGCCCTATAAAGAGTTTATGAGCATTACTTAACCTGTTTAACCCTAACGCCCCCCCAGTTGGGGGCCTCTACAGTTTCATGTCCCAAACATCTACAAGTGTCCACATTCTCCAAACACGACTAAAACCACAACCAAACAGCCCAGATGGGAAACAAGGCCGTTATAAATTGTAATAAATTAAGATACAATGATGATTGAACTTTATTTTAGAAGAGCATCTGACCTTCTCTGGTGTGTGCTGGAAAAAATCCTTGAACAAATGTAGTTGAGGCCCCCTGAAATAAATAAAACAATAGACTAAATTTCCTACATGGAATTGAACTCACAACCTCCATCCTGTCAGCACTTTCACACAGGGCAGCTCTTCTAAAATTAAGTTCGAGTATTTGTCATGGTCTGCGTCCTGCGTCTCCCTCATGTGCTTCCTTGTGTTCCCCAGCCCCACTTCAGGTTCTCCCCTTAGGTTTCTGTGCCCCTTTAGGTCTCCAGCTCCCACCAGGTTTTCTCAGGTTCACTTATTCTTTAGTTTTCTTTGTATTTATATTATCTAGCTAAGTTTTCCCTGTAGTTTCATAGGTTCAGGTTTTCTTCTAGGCCCTTCCCCACCGGTTTATTAGTTCTCCTTTCCTCCTTAGATCATTAGTTGTTTGTCTTGTTCTTCTAGTCTTTAGGTTTGGTTATTATTCATAGGTCATGTTTTACTTCCCCTCCTCAGCTTAGTTTCCTCTCCCTGATTGGTAGATTGATTTCACCAGGTTTCTCTCTCCCCACGCACCTGCAGCTCATCTCCCAATCACCCAGCCCTTGTGTATAAAACCCTGTCTGCGTCTCAATGTGTTGTTGGTCCATTGTCAGAGTTCTCTCCAGGTCTCCAGGTCAGCTCTTTAAGTGAGCTCTTTGTCTCCAGGTCTCTTGGTTTTTTCATACTAGGATTTTTGGATTTTCGGTTTTGGCTTCCTGCCTTTTGTATTTACTTTTGGACAATCACTCCTAATAAAGGATTTTGCGTTTATTCCAACTCCTGCCTCGTGTCTCCCTGGTTCTGCATCTTGGGTCCTACCCAACCCCCCCCCCCCCCCCAACCCCCCCTCACAGCGTGACAGTATTATTTTATGGTAAAGTTTAAGTTAAAGTCCCATTAGTTGTCACACACACTGATGTGTGTGCAAAATTTGTTCTCCGCATTTGACCCACCCCCTGGGGGAGCGGTGAGCTGCAGACACAGCCGTGCTCGGGAACCATTTGGTGGTTTAACCCCCCAATCCAACCCCGTAATGCTGAGTGCCAAGCAGGGAGGCATTGGGCCCCACTTTTTTCTGTCTTTGGTATGACCCGACCAGGAATTGAACCCTGATCTCCCAGTCTCAGGGCGGACACTCTACCACTAGGCCACTGAGCTGTATCAAAAACCAAAAATTGCTTTGTTTACAATCTAACCTGGTTTGATTGTAGCTGTAGCTGTGCTCGGGGAACACAATCACTG